TGTGAAAAACGGCCGTAAGTCACTTTTTTCCAGTGCCGTTTTAACTTTGAATGATCATTAAATGAACCTACGTTGAGGACTCTCTGCATTGCTCTTGAAGGCTGACAGGGAGACATTTTCTTCTGCTTTCTAAGCAGCTTCTCTGTTTCCTGCCAGACCTGTCCTTTTGCAGACAAGTCAACCCAAATGCAGGTTGCCTTGGAGAAGGTAGAATCATCAGAATCAGGAGCTGGAAGGGACCTTGGAGGTCTTCTAGCCCAACCCCCTGTTCAAGCAGGAGAGCCTATACAATTCGGAGATAAGCGGCTGTCCAGTCTCATCTTCAACACCTCCATTGATGGCGCTCCCACAACTTCTGAAGGCAAACTTTGTTTAATTGTTCTCCATGTTAGGAAGTTTCTCCTTAATTCCAGGTTGCTTCTCTCCTCGATCAGGAAGGGTGTCGCCCTCTGCTCTGTATCTCCCTGTGGCTGCTGAAACAGCAGCCTTCCTTATCTTGCATTCCAGCGTGTGGGACGCAAAGGACATTGCAAAAAAGCCAATTATGGGCATCACAGCTTCTCCTTGCCCAAGGACGTGCCCTCTCCTCCTGCCTCTTCACGCAGAGCCTTGCGCACATCCAGCAGCTGCTGGGCACCTCCAAAGGCCATGTCTTCAGTGAGCTCTTCGTCCACCTTCCGTTCCGAGCACATTAGCACCTACACCCCGAGCAAACATCGCTTCGAGCCCCTGCTGGACCCTCCCCATGGGATCTTTGGGGCAGGGAGAACTCAGGAGCCCTACGGATATTCAGGTGAGTGAGAGCCTTTTGGGGTAGGGGGGAAACTCAAGTGCACAGCATGTTCCATCTCCCCCTTTGACTTCAGAGGCAAGGTGGGGCTAAACCAAGATTGATTGCTTATCCCTATCTTCTTGTTGTTCATTGCGAAGTCGTGTCCGACCCATCGCGACTCCATGGACAACATTCCTCCAGGCCTTCCTGTCCTCTACCATCTCCTGGAGTCCATTTAAGCTCACGCCGACTGCTTCAGTGACTCCATCCAGCGACCTCGTTCTCTGTCGTCCCCTTCATCTTTTGCCCTCCATTGTTCTCTTCTCCAGGGAGTCCTTCCTTCCAGTGGTGGGTTTCAAATTTTTTTACTACTGGTTCTGTGGGTGTGGCTTGGTGGGCGTGGCATGGCTTGGTGGACGAGGTGTGGCTTGGTGGGCGTGGCAGGGGAAGGATACTGTAAAATCTCCATTCCCACCCCAATCCAGGGGACGGTTACTGCAAAATCCTCATTTCTTCCCAATCAGCTGGGACTTCGGTGCCAGAGAATAGATGGGGGCGGGGCCAGTCAGAATTTTTACTACCGGTTCTCCGAACTACTCAAAATTTTCACTACCGCTTCTCCAGAACTGGTCAGAACCTGCTGAAACCCACCTCTGCTTCCTTCTCATTAGGTGGCCAAAGTATTTGAGTTTCATCTTCAGGAGCTGGCCTTCTAAAGAGCAGTCAGGGTTGATCTCTTCTAGGACTGACCGGTTTGATCACCCATCCCTCCCTTAGATGATCAAAAATGGACCAAGAGAATACTATTTTCTCATTTCCGGCATTGTATGAGCAATAACTACTTGCTATTCTACTTTTTTTATTATTATTATTTGATTTATATGCCGTCCTTCTCCGGAGACTCAGGGCGGCTTATAATGTGCTAAGCAATAGCCTTCATACTTTTGTATATTTATACAAAGTCAGCTTATTGCCCCCACAAACTGGGTCCTCATTTTACCCACCTTAGAAAGGATGGAAGGCTGAGTCGACCTTGAGCCTGGTGAGAATTGAACTCGCAGTAATTGCAGACAGCTGGATGTTAAATGCTGCCTTAGTAGGAGGCATTAGCCTCCTACACCACTCAGGCTCCTTTGTGTGTCTGCTTGACATGATCTGCTTAGCAATAGCAAAGCACTTAGATTTATATGCCACTTCACAGTGCTTCACAGTGCCCTCTCTAAGCTGTTTACAGAGTCAGCCTATTGTCCCCAACAATCTGGGTCCTCATTTTACCGACCTCGGAAGGATGGAAGGCTGAATCCACCTTGAGCCTGGTGAGATTCGAACTGGTAAATTGCAGGCAGCCGGCAGGCAGCAGTAGTTGGCTGCAGTGCTGCATTCTAACCACCGCACCACCACGGCTCTTACCAGATTCTTGAATTAACCCCTTTGGGAAGGAATCTTGTGATTCATACAGGTAGTCCTCGATTTACAGCCATTCATTTAGTGACCTTGCAGCAGCACTGGAAACAGGGATTTATGACCGTTGTTTCACACTTATGACTGTTGCAGCATCCTTGATGGTCATCCATGCGATCGAAACGCAGGCACTTGGCAACTGGCATGAAGCATCCCGGGTCATGTGATCACAATTTGCAACCTTCCCAGGGGGAAGCAAGGGAAGTTTGAGGGGGTCAGTTGTGGTCATAAGTCAAGAACGACTTGTATAAGGACGTGTATTATGAATTCATCGGCTTCATGGAACACATGTCCAAGAGTAAATCCAATTAAGCCCATTGTGATGGATGAATGCATCTGACTTAATTATGAGCATTGAATGAACCATCACTGAAATTCAGTTTCTGGTTATTGAAACATGCTCAGTTACAACCCTGAAAACACAGGCGGCAAGACAAGGTTAGGGTTAAAGGTAAAGGTGAAGGTTCCCCTCGCACATATGTGCTAGTCGTTCCTGACTCTAGGGGGTGGTGCTCATCTCTGTTTCAAAGCCGCACAGCCAGCCTTGTCCAAAGACGTCTCCATGGTCATGTGGCCGGCATGACTCAATGCTAAAGGCGCACGGAACGCTGTTCCCTTCCCACCAAAGGTGGTCCCTATTTTTCTACTTGCATTTTTTACCTGCTTTCGAACTGCTAGGTTGGCAGAAGCTGGGACAAGTAACGGGAGCTCACCCCCGTTACGTGGTGCTAGGGATTCGAACCGCTGAACTGCTGACCTTTCGATTGACAAGCTCAGCATCTTAGCCACTGAGCCACTGCGTCCACCCCTGGGTTTGGGTTAGGGTTAAGCAAGAAGTTGCTTCCTTAGAGTGGATCTTCCAAAATTAATGGCTGGGGCTCCCTCAAAAAACCATGAATTAATCCCCCCCCTTTTTTTAAATACAGCAAACGACAGCAGGTAGCCAATCTTGGCTGATCTTGGGGTGGGGGGGGGAACGAAGAAGCATCAAGCTTGGTTAGTACAGTACTGGATTGCAAAAACCCACCTCACCACTAGAGGGCAGCAAGATGATACCAGAAACTCTTTCCCACCACTAGGGGGTCTCTTGCAATGTGGCAGCTCAGGTAAAGGAGCCCCAGAGGCAGCTTGGTGTAGTAACGAAGGCATCCTGCTAGAAACTGGGAGATCCTGAGTTCTAGGCAGGGGTGAAATCCAGCAGGTTCTGACAGGTTCTGGAGAAGCGGTAGCGGAAATTTTGAGTAGGTCGGAGAACCGGCAAATACCACTTCTGGCTGGCCCCAGAGTGGAGTGGGAATGGGGATTTTGTAGTATTCTTCCCCTGGAGTAGGGTGGGAATGGAGATTTTGCAGTATCCTTCCCCTGCCATGCCCACCAAGCCACACCATGCCCACCAAGTGACGCCCATAGAACCGGTAGTAAAAAAAATTGGATTTCATCACTGGTTCTGGAACCAGTGGTGGGTTCCTCCTGGTTCGGTCCGGTTTGGCCGAGCTGGTAGCGGTGACAATATGACATCACTGAACCGGTTCTCTTTGTTCGGGAGCTGGGCCCTCCCACCCCCCCCACACTCCCTCCTTATTCTTACCTTTTATTTGGCCCCACCCCCAATCTATTGCTGCCTCCCGAATCCCAGCTGATCGGCTAGAAGGAAAAAAAACTGTTTAAACTCTTGCCAGGGCTTCAAAGGGCCGCCCTACAGCTGATCAGTGTTAAAAGGCAATGTGGTGGTAGACCGGTGCCTCCAAAAACGAATGAGTAGACCAGTACAGCTCTGCAAGCAGTTAAAAGCCTGATAGACCAGTACCTCTGCTAAATCCTAAAGAATTGTCACATGACCATCAAGCCACGCCCACAAAATAAGCCATGCCCACAGAACCAGTAGTAAAAAAGTTTAGAACTCACCCCTGTTCTAGACCTGCCTTAGGCACAAAGCCAGTTGACAATTTGGAGCCAGCCACTCTCTCAGCCCCAGAAAGGAGGCAATGGCAAACTGCATCCCAAAAAACCTTGCGAAAAAAGCTGCAGGAACATATCCAGGCAACCTGAAGGTGTTCTCTCGCATTCTCTCTCTCTCTCTCTCTCCCTCCCTCTCTGTCTCTCTCACACACCCAAAACACACCCTTCCCAGGGTCCCCTCCATCCGTCCATTCCTCAGCCTTGGGCAGCAGCAACGTGGTGGCCAGCGGGAACAAATACCAGGTCATCACGGATCTCAGCCAGTTTGAACCCCAAGATATCGTGGTGACTTCCTACAACTACTGCATCGTCATCCAAGCTGAGAAGGTAAGAAGGGTGGGGGGCTCCTGTCAGGGCTGAGATATTCAGAGGGGATGAAAAAGAAACCGATACCCCAGGTCCCCTTCCCACAACACGTTTAAAACCCAATCAAGGAGGGGGGGTGGAATTCATATGTGATTGGAATGTCAAGATGGATGAGTTGCTCTGGTCATTGAACAGATCACTCAATTGTTAAAATTAGCTCCGAGCAGCACGGTTACTCATGAGGGTAAGCTAACTGGCAGACACTTGTGCCATGGGAATCCCTAAACCTGCCCCCTTCCATATTGATTGGCATCTCTCTCGATGGCTGAACCTGGCTGCAGTCTGCACGGAGATCAAATCTGTCAGTGGCTTATTTTGTGGGCGTGGCTTGATGGTCATGTGACAATTCTTTAGGATTTAGCAGAGGTACTGGTCTACCAGGCTTTTAACTGCTTGCAGAGATGTACTGGTCTACTCATTTGTTTTTGGAGGCACCGTTCTACTCATTTGTTTTCGGAGGCACTGGTCTACCCATTTATTTTTGGAGGCATCGGTCTACTCATTTGTTTTTGGAGGCACCGGTCTACTCATTTGTTTTTGGAGGCATCGGTCTACTCATTTGTTTTTGGAGGCACCGGTCTACTCATTTGTTTTTGGAGGTACCAGTCTACTCATTTGTTTTTGGAGGCACCAGTCTACCCATTTATTTTTGAAGGCATCGATCTACTCATTTGTTTTTGGAGGCATCGGTCTACTCATTTGTTTTTGGAGGTACCGGTCTACTCATTTGTTTTTGGAGGCACTGGTCTACCCATTTATTTTTGCAGGCACCAGTCTACCCATTTATTTTTGCAGGCACCGGTCTACTCATTTGTTTTTGGAGGCACCAGTCTACTCATTTGTTTTTGGAGGCACTGATCTACCCATTTATTTTTGCAGGCACCGGTCTACTCATTTGTTTTTGGAGGCACTGGTCTACCACCAAATTGCCTTTTACCACTGATCAGCTGTAGGGCGGCCCTTTGAAGCCCTGCAGCAAGAGTTTAAACAGTTTTTTTCCTTCTAGCTGATCAACTGGGACTCGGGAGGCAGCAATAGATTGGGGGTGGGGCCAAATAAAAGGTAAGAATAACATGGGGGAGCGGGAGGGCCCAGTTCCCAAACAAAGAGAACCGGTTCGGTGATCTCATATTGTCACCACTACCGGCTCGGCCAAACCGGGAGGAACCCACCACTGAAGTCAACCCATCAAGAGATTTAGAAAGAGATTTGTCTGAAATGGTATAAGATCTCCTGGCTGAGTAGTGGGTTGGACTAAGAAACCTCCAAAGTCCCTTCCAGCTCTGTTATTCTGTTAACTTCATAACTGGGCTGTAAGTACCATATTTTTCAGAGTATAAGACACACCTTTCCCCCCCAAAAAATAGGGTGAAAATCTGGGTGCATCTTATACTCCAAATGTAGCCCCACCCAGCTTCTCAAACGGAGGTTTCGGAGGCTGAAAAAAGCATCAGAAACGAAGCTTCAGAAAAAAAGCCTCCAAACAGAGCTTCAGAGGCTTTTTTTCTGAAGCTGTTTCGGAGGCTTTCAGAGGCAGGAAAATTTTTTTTTCTGAAAAGGAGTTTCAGAAGTTTCAGAGGCAGAAAAAAAAGCAAGGCACAGAGCTCACAACCAAGGAACCTGTTGCTAAAATTCACCTCTTGGAATAGCTGATTGGGAGTATTCCGGGAGGCTCTTTTTAATATGAAAATTTTAATCTGTTTTTTAAATGATTGGGGTGTTTTAAATCTGTCTGGGCTAAATTGTTTAATTCGGTTTTATGCTGTTTTTTTAAATTTTGTATTTATGTATTTTATCGTTTGGCTGTTCACCGCCCTGAGTCCTTCGGGAGTAGGGCGGTATATAAATCAAATAAAGATAAAGAAGAAGATCCACCTGCCAATCAGCTTTTTTCTTATTTTCCTCCCCAAAAACTAAGGTGCATCTTATACTCCGGTGCGTCTTATATTCCGAAAAATACATTAGTTTTTCGGGGCTCCATTGTAACTTTGAACAGTTGCTAAGTAACTGGCTGTATGTATTACGTTTGCTCAAATCTTACCAATTGCCTAAGCTAATGTAAGACAAATCCATTTCTTGGTCTCAGTGCGCCGTCTGTTTTCAAACAGCACACTTAACCTGATTACTGAATGGACTCGTTTTTTTAAAGTTTGTACCATGCCCTGAACAAAACCCCTAGTTGAGGTTAACAGCAGTCAAGTTTCTTCTATTTTGCAAATGCATTCTTCACCTGATCTGAATTAAAATGGTTGCATAAACTTAGTCCCAGAGCGGGAAGGGGCTGTGGAGGGAGCATGAGAGGGAAAAGCAGGACATGGATCGAAGGCAAGAAGGAGAGAAGGTAGGAGGTAGCCATAAAAAAGGAAAACCGGATGTCCGTCTTTTCTAGTTTTAATTCTGTTTATCTGCTGCTGTTTTCAGTGATGTTCTATTCGCTGAAGTCATCAACACCCAAATAGGGTTAACAACTACGGTAACTCACTTAGCAACTGGGGCAAAAAAGGTCATAACATGGGACAAAACTCACATAACTGTCTCGCTTAGCAACATAAATTTTGGGCTGAATTCAATGGTGGGTTGATCCCGGTTCGCACCGGTTCGCAAGAACCGGTAGTAAAAATTTGTAGTAGTTCGGAGAATAAGATTGGCTGGCCACGCCCCCAAACCGGTCCCCGCTCGCTTACCCGCCCGTCTCATCAGAGGCTTTTTTTTTTTCTTTTAAAAGCATTTTTTCTACAACCTCTTCGGCCGAAAAAATGCTTTTAAAAGTAAAAAAAAAAAAAAGCCTCTGATGATCGTGTGGCTCAGCTGGCATCGTCAGAAGCTTTTAAAAGCATTTTTTTCTGCAACCTCTTCGGCCGAAGAGGTTGTAGGGGAAAAAAATGCCTTTAAAAGCCTCTGGCGATCCCAGCTGAGTTGCCTGATCGTCAGAGGCTTCTAAAAGCATTTTTTTTTTCTGCAACCTCTTAAGGTTGTAGAAAAAACGCTTTTAAAAGTAAAAAAAAAAAGAAAGTTGGCCACGCCCACCCAGTCACATTACCCCCACCAAGCCACGCCCACAAAATAAGCCACGCCCACAGAACCAGTAGTAAAAATTTTAGAACCCACCCCTGGCTGAATTGTGGTTGTAAGTCAAGGACTACCTGTATTCTTGATGACCTTCAGGCGAAACCAGTGTTTCTCAACCTTGAATGCTGGCTGGGGAATTCTGGGAGTTGAAGTCCAAGCATTTTAAAGTTGTCAAGATTGAGAAACACCGGGATAAAACCCGCATCCTTTCCTTTGGTCAAATTACAGCAAATATGTATTGAGTACATCCAGAAAATGAATGACAGTAATTGGGTAACCAGGTCAGGCAGCTTGTGTGAATGTTCCCAACGAGACACCTTTGAAAAACTCAAGCTAAGCTCTTAAACCAGGGATGTCAAACTCAATTTCATTGAGGGCCGCATCAGGGTTGTGTTTGACCTCGGGGGGCCAGGGGGAGCATGGCTAGGATTGACATGGCCATGATCAGTGGTGAAATTCAGCCGGATCTATCCGGACCACGCTGTCAACTTGCAAAGCTTTCAAGTTGCCATGAGCAGGAGGGAGGGAGAACTGAAATGAATTCCATACATTCTTCCTGACCGCAATCAGAAGGAGGGTGTTAGGTTTCGCAGCCAGCCAAAGTGGTTAATTGGAGAATGTGATTTATGACATGGCCAGAGAGGAGTGGAGAGACAGGGTCATAGGGGAACGTAAATCTACGCAGGATCAGTCCTAACTGCATCCCAGTATTGCCGGAATGGTGCTCCTAATAAATGACTATATTTCCTTTGAAGTTTGGATCATGGCTCATGAATTAATTAGGGCATCTTTTGGAAACTTGACACACGCAATCCGGTAGCGTTGGCGGCGGGAGGCTCTGCCCACCTGCCCGGACATCATCACATCCCGTTTTTGACCCTCTGCGCATGTGCTGAAGGCTCTGGGCATACATGGAGGAGGCATGTGCTCACATTTGCAAACTGGTAGCGAAGGTAAGTGAATTTCACCCCTGGCCAGGATGAAAGTGGACGTTTTTGCTGGCAGAGGACTGCAGGATGCCGCCGCAGCCGAAAATGGAGCTCGGGACGGCCACGTGCGGCCCTCCTAAGCTCCATTTTTGCTGGCAGAGGCACTGCAGGCCGGTCCTTCGCTGTTTCCAGGGTTCCTGCAGGCCAGATCTAAGGAGCCTTGGTGGCACAGCGGACTAAAGTGCTGTTAAATAGCACTTAGCTGCCAGCTGCCTGCAATTACCACGAGTTCAAATCTCACCAGGCTCAAGGTTGATTCAGCCTTCCATCCTTCCGAGGTAGGTAAAATGAGGACCCGGATTGTGGGGGCAATAAACTGACTTTGTATACAAAAAAAAAAAGAACACCGCTTAGGGGGGGCAAAAAGCCCTACTATACAAAAGTATGAAGGCTATTGCTTAACGCATTGTAAGCCGCCCTGAGTCTCCAGAGAAGGGCGGCATATAAATTGAACCAATAAAATAAATAAATAAATAACCCCACGGTCTGGATCCGGCCCGCGGAGCTTGAGTTTGACACCCCTGTCTTAAGCCAACATTGGTGGTGCCTTAAGAGACACCAGGGTGGAAAATTCAGGAAGATATTTGGGGAAAGGGCTCACCCACTTATGTTTGCTTGCCTTGCAGATGGCTGAAGATGGCATTGTCTCCAACACCTTCACCCATAAGTGCCAGCTGCCGACAGACATGGATCCTCTGTCCGTCAGTTGCTCCCTGAACGACGCTGGCAAGTTGATCATCACAGCTAGGAGGCGTCAGCGGTCCCCATCGCCTCTGTATCGTACGGAGGTGAAGCTTTAAGGGTAGCCCTCTCTCACCCAATCCACACCCTCAAGCTCCCTTAGATGTGATCGAGTCTTAGTTTAGTTTGTGGGCATCCTTTCTCCATGCCATGCCATATCATAGCACCAGAGGTGGGTTTCAGCAGGTTCTGACCAGTTCTGGAGAACCGGTAGCGGAAATTTTGAGTAGTTCGGGGAACCGGTAGTAAATATTCTGACTGGCCCCGCCCCCCATCTATTCTCTGCCTCCCGAGTCCCAGCTGATCGGGAGGAAATGGGGATTTTGCAGTAACCTTCCCCTGGATTGGGGTGGGAATGGAGATTTTACAGTATCCTTCCCCTGCCATGCCCACCAAGCCACGCCCACCAAGCCATGCCACGCCCACCAAGCCACACCCACAGAACCGGTAGTAAAAAAAATTGCAACCCACCACTGCATAGTACCACATGTGGCATCGGTATGCATGCCTTCAACCTTAGATTCCCTGTCCATTTGACAGAAGGAAAACCCTACAGTGGTCCTTGACTTAAGACCGCAATTTGGATTGCGACTTCCATCCCTAAAGGTGATGAATTTGTTGAGTTGTTCCCAATCTTCTTCTTCTTCTTCTTCTTCTTCTTCTTCTTCTTCTTCTTCTTCTCTTCTTCTTCTTCTTCTTCTTCTTCTTCTTCTTCTTCTTCTTCTTCTTCTTCTTCCTCTTCCTCTTCCTCTTCCTCTTCTTCCTTCTTCTTCCTCTTCTTCTTTTTCTGCCACAGTTGAGAAACGAATTACCTCAGTTGTTAACTTACCCGTATTTTTTCCCCCTGGTTCAAATAGGTTCAAAATAGATTGTGAAACTATAAAATGCAAAAATACCAAGAAAATGAGGACAATGGGAAAATAAAGGGAGGAAAAGGGGAAGAGAGAAAAGTGTAGGGGGGGAAAAAAAAAGAAAGAAAAGAAAAACATTGACTTCCAACTCCTTTTGGTGCAGTAGAATGAGGTGGCAACGTAAAATCTCCACTGTTTACTTTTATATGAGAGGATATGCCAGCCATTTCTATAGAAACAAATCTACAGAATCTATCTAATCACGAAAACCTGAAATCGAAGTTGTTTTGATCACTGAGGTTGTTAAATGAATCACACGGTTGCTAAGTGAATCAGTCCTCCCTCACTGACGCTGTCAGGAGGTCACAAATGGGGATCATGTGACCCCCCAGGATGCTGCAACTGTCATAAATACATGCCAGGTACCAAGTGCCCAAATTCCAATTGCATAAGCATGGCGGCGCTGAGACTGTCATAAGTGCGAGGACTGGTTGTAAGTCACTTTTTAAAGCACTGTCAGAACTTGTTCAACAGTCGTAAGTTGAGGACTACTTGTATGTGCAGTGACACAGAGAGAAAGCCCTCCACTGAATGTCTGCGAAGCGGCTGTACTCTTCCGTTAATGGGATATGCAAAGCAACAGCTTCTATGAAAAAAAAATATATCATGAGGTCTAGAAGCTTGAAGTTTGGGGAGGTGGGAGGACGGCAGTACTTTTGATGGTGGGTAGGTGGCAGCAAAGATAAATGTCTCCTGCTACTTGGTAGGGTCTGGGTTTTAGGCTGGCATCGTAACATGGATTGTTAATTGGAAGGGACCTTGTAGGTCATCTAGTCCAACCCCCGGCCCAAGTAGGACACCATACACACCATCCCTGACAAATGGCAGTCCAATCTCCCCTTGAATATAGGTAGTTCTTGACTTACAACCAGGGGTGAAATCCAGCAGGTTCTGACAGGTTCTGGAGAAGCGGTAGTGGAAATTTTGAGTAGTTTGGAGAACTGGCAAATACCACCTCTGGCTGGCCCCAGAGTGGGGTGGGAATGGAGATTTTGCAATACCCTTTCCCTGGAGTGAAGTGGGAAATGGAGATTTTGCAATATCCTTCCCTTGGAACGGGGGGGAATGGAGATTTTGCAATATCCTTTCCCTGGAACGGGGTGGGAATGGAGATTTTGCAATATTCTTCCCTTGGAACGGGGTGGGAATGGAGATTCTGCAATATCCTTCTCCTGGAACAGGGTGGGAATGGAGATTTTGCAATACCCTTTCCCTGGAGTGAAGTGGAAATGGAGATTTTGCAATATCCTTCCCTTGGAACGGGGGGGGAATGGAGATTTTGCAATATCCTTTCCCTGGAACGGGGTGGGAATGGAGATTTTGCAATATTCTTCCCTTGGAACGGGGTGGGAATGGAGATTCGCAATATCCTTCTCCTGGAACAGGGTGGGAATGGAGATTTTGCAATATTCTTCCCCTGAAATGGGGTGGGAATGGAGATTTTGCAATATCCTTCCCCTGCCACGCCCACCAAGCCACACCATGCCCACCCAGCCACACCCACAGAACCGGTAGTAAAAAAATTTGAATTTCACCACTGCTTACAACCACGTTTGAGCCCAAAATTTCGGTTGCTAAGCAAAGAAAGCGATGTGAGCTTTGCCCCGTTTTACAATCTTCCTTGCCACCGTCGTTAAACGAATCACTGCCGTTAAGTTAGGGTCCAATCAAGAAACCTTGGGTGCTTGTGTTGGTTCAAGGAAGAAATCCAGAAAGTTTATGCATGTAAAGAAATGGGGGAATTGGATTAGCATTGAAAATTACAGTAATGAAGCTTTCAATCCACCCTTTAAAAGAGACGTATTGAAATTATTTAAAAGCAAGGCTGCCCGCTGATTTTTTTTATTTTTTCTGGGAATTGTGCTACTGAATCTTGTGACTTCATAACCGAGCAAAGGAGCTATGGAGGCAGCGGTTTTATTCTTGCCATCAATCCCTGGTTTTTGTCTTCCAATACCCGCTGCAGATGATTGCTGGGTTTTGCTTTGGGGCCCACGTAGGAAAAAAAAAAAATAATGCCAGAGAACTACTAAGTTCCTGCAAATGGAGATGCATTTCAGGATCACCCAAAAGACTCAAGTGCAAAGAGAGAAAATACAGAGAGATCTTGGGAAGAGCTGGAAAAGAGAGGGAGACAAATTCCTTGTGTATCTAACCACACTTGGCCAATAAAGAATATTCCTATTCTATTCTATTCTATTCTATTCTATTCTATTCTATTCTATTCTATTCTATTCTATTCTATTCTATTCTATTCTATTCTATTCTTTCTTATTCTCATCTATTCTATTCTACTCTACTCTATTCTATTCTTATTCTCTTCTACTCTATTCTTATTCTCTTCTACTCTATTCTTATTCCATTCTAATTCTACCCTGCTCTATTCTTTTCTAATTTTCTTTTCTAATTCTATTCTATTCTTATTCTACTTTACTCTAATTCTACCCTACCCTACCCTATTCTATTCTAATTCTATTCTATTCTACTCTATTCATATTCTACTCTACTCTAACTTTACCCTACCCTACCCTACCCCATTCCATTCCACTCTACTCACTTCCCTTCCCCAAAAAGGGATATTTGCAGGGGTGAAATCCAATTTTTTTCCCTATCGGTTCTGTGGGTGTGGCTTGGTGGGCATGGCAGGGGAAGGATACTGCAAAATCTCCATTCCCACCCCACTCTGGGACCAACCAGAGGTGGTATTTGCCGGTTCTCTGAACTACTCAAAATTTCCGCTACCGGTTCTCCAGAACCTGTCAGAACCTGCTGGATTTCACCCCTGTAGCTGAGGTTTGTATGCTGTCCAGAATTGTCTCTGGATGAGATGGGCAGCACATAAATTTAGGTGTCATGGTGGCACAGTAATTCATTTTTTTTTTCCTACCAGTTCTGTGGGCATGGTGTGGCTTGGTGGGCATGGCAGGGAAAGGATACTGTAAAATCTCCATTCCCACCACGCTCTAGGGGAAGGTTACTGCAAAATCCCCATTTCCTCCCAATCAGCTGGGTCTTGGGAGGCAGAGAATAGATGGGGGCGGGGCCAGTCAGAATTTTTACTACCGGTTCTCCGAACTACTTAAAATTTCCGCTACCGATTCTCCAGAACTGGTCAGAACCTGCTGAAACCCACCTCTGGTCTCAGGATGTAAGCTGTTAAAGTGTAAAGCTGCCTTTTGCAATTGACTGATGGCGATTTTTGTCAATACCGAAGGTGTTCAAGTGATGCTCCAGATGTTTGGGGACTGTACCCATTCTTATTGTTAATAAATATTCATTGGCCACCTATCTCTAGTGGACTCTGGACTCCTTTCAGAACTGGAAGTACATCTGTTTAGGAACCCTGGAACAATCAGGTTGTCTTAACTCTGTGATTCTGGGAGATTACAAGGATACACTCATTTTGGCTTTTTTTCCAGCAACTGTATCAGTGGTGGGTTGTCTCCGGTTTGGACCGGTTCGCAAGAACCGGTAGTAAAACCGGCAGGAAGTCCTGCCCACCGCCCCGGATTGTCATCATCGGCGATCTGCGCATGCGCGATCCTGTTGCAAACCAGTAGTAAAGGTAAGTAGAACCCACCCCTGAAATGTATGGAGAGAATTTGCAAATATATTCTTCAGCAATATTTCCCCCACCTACCCCCCAAATCTGGGATTTCTGGACATCTTCCACCTAGCTATTAACTAGCTTGCACCAACTGAGATATTTGGGGGGGGGTTATCTGAAAGATCTGGCTGGCTAGACCAATTTATGGAGGAAATCCGAGATGAGAAGAAATAATTTATTGAAAAGGATCCTGAGTTTCTTCCCCCCTTTCTCCCCAAAAAGAAAAGTAGACATTGAGCGCATTCACATAATATCTTTAACCTGGGTTATCAGTTTAACCCACTTCCTGGGTTCTCACAATAGACCGAATTGGAGCCTAGCTGGGTCTGCACAACATAAAAGCCATCTAACCATGAATTTTTTTTAAAAAAAAACCCCTCCCTTTTTATGACTCTGTAATCCCTTAATTCGGGATAGAATCGGGGTGATTGTTTACTGAGGCTGAGAGTTTACTGGCCAGATCCCCTTCCTGATGCCACACAGAGCTCACAGCAGATATTTTCTCTTTGTGCAGTAGGAGAGAAACATCTGCTGCTACCTAGGATTGAACGCTCCAATCTTTCGTGCTTAAGGTGGGACTAGAAATCACAGTCTCCTGGTGATTGACTCAAGTCATCCAGCCAGATTTCATGCCTAAAATGGGACTATAATTCAGTATCCTGCTGATTGGCCCAAAGTCATCCAACTGGCTTTCATGCATGCCTAAGGTGGGACTAGAAATCACAGTCTCCTGGTCATTGGCCAGGGGCAACCAGCAGGATTTCATGCCTAAAGCAGGACTAGAACTCACAATCTCCTAGCGATGGGCCCAAGTCACCAAGCTGACTTTCATGTCTAAAGTGGGATTAGAACTCATAGTATCATGATCGCCAGCCTGGTGCCTTAACCTTTAGGCTAAACCGGCTCATACTGACACCCATCCTTCTCTTTACCCTAGTTGTGATCTGGACCATGTCAATGAACAAACCAGGCTCGGTTCCCACAACCGTCTATGGCTTAGATATACACCAGACACTCCTTGGTTCATAATATAACTCTATTTGTATTCTTTTCTGCAATTAAATTAATATAGATAGATATATGTATAAAAATCTTCGGTATGTACAGACAGTCTTCCTTCTTTCCCTCTCCTCTGCCTGTGGATTCGAGCATGAGTGGGTTCCACAGAGAGAGGAAGGCGGAAGGGAAGAATTCCAGGATCTGGCAGTAGGGAGGAAGGGGGAGGGGGTTGCCTGGTTCAGTAGTCCGAGAAATCCAGTGCCGGTTTTATTTGGGCCCCACAAGCCCTACCAACAACCCCCACAAACCCCATCCGTTATTTAGGATTCCTCCTACAGAGGGGGGGGGAGGTCGCCGTACACAGCACGGCTGAGTCAGCGCTGAAGATTTGAGGGGGAAGATTCAGGCCACGGGGAGAGAAACCCACAGCTGCCCACAGACGCCAGGAGGGCATCCACCCATGCCGAAAAGTTCCTCCTCCTTTCAAACCTGAAAAAAAGGGGGGCACAGTGACGAGACCGCGAGGAAGACAGATGCTTCACCAGCTTCCTTCCAGGTGGACTGTCCACCTGCAAAGCTGCCGAGAACGGACCAAGGAAGTCTTTGAACTACTCTCGGAGGCGGCCCGAGTGAGATGCCCGAGCCTCGGGGTACAAGGAAGGACCCCTGTACAGAGAAGTTGAGATGAGTGTTTGAAAAGACCCACGCGCGTATCCTCCCCTGTCTCGATCTCCTCATCTGACCAGCTCTCGTGGAGCTGAGCTGCTGGAGAGTGGGACGACGGGAAAATGGGAAGGGAAAGACTTAAATGAACCCTGAGACCAAGGATGGAGCTAACGGGGCACCGGGGGGGCCCAGCTTTAAGGTTCTGGATGGCAATTCTCCAGTTATTCCAGGAACGGACTGTCCTCTTGAAGTCTCCAAAGCTGGAATGTTGAAGGCATCCTTAGAAGAGGCCCAGCTGCCAGAGCAACAGCCAAGGCATGGCAATGAGGAACCGTCTCTCGGTTGGCAGGTTCTCCGTGCCCAACGTCACTGGCACTTGTCGTCGCTCTCGGAGGGGCTGAACTCGCGAGGGATGGAGTGTCGTTGCCGCCGATCCCACAGCTGGTGGATTTCGGTGGCCTCTATATCGCTGCTGCTGGTTGTGCTATCCCGGAAGCTCGCCAGCGGGGGGCGCACCTTCACCCCTTTGGCGGTGACCGAACCCTCAATGGCTTTGCGCAGCTGGAAGAGAGGAAGAGAGGAAGGGATGAAGGGCGACAGCAGCATTCGCCCAATCCGTACAGGTAGTCCTTGACTTACAACCGTTCGTTTAGCGACCGTTCAAAGTTAGAACGGCCCTGGAAAAAATGGGATTTAGGATCATTTCCCACACTTACGTGGGAAATCACGGGATCAAAATTCGGACCCTTGGCAACTGACTCATATTTATGACAGTTGCAGCGTTCGGGGGTTACGCAATTCCCTTTTGCGATTTTAAGTCGATGAGGAAGCCGGATTCACTTTACAACCATGTTACTATGTTGCCTGACTAGCCGGCTCAGTGGCTAAGACATTGTGCTTGTCGATCAGAGAGGTCGGCAGTTCGGCGGTTCGAATCCCTAGTACAGGTCTCCTGCGTGAGCAGGGGGTTGGACTAGATGACCTCCGAGGTCCCTTCCGACCCTGTTACTGTTACTAAGTTAACAACCGCAGTGATTCACTTAACGACTGGGACAAGAAAGTTCGTAAAACGGGGCAAAACCTACTTAACAACTGTCCCTTAGCGACAGAAATTTTGGCCTCAACTGAAGTCGTAAGTGGAGGTCTACCTGTGCTTACCTATTTTGACCAGAAACTGTCATCCTAAGAGCCTTTCCCAAGAAAGATGGTCATAAAACTTGCTGGACTATGACTTCAATCGAACCAGATCAGAATGGTGACTGCTACTGGGTGAAAATTGTATTAGCTGAGCTTTGTAAGCTGTCCTAGAATTTCTCTGGGTGAGATGGGCAGCACATAAATTTAGACGCTGTAGTGGCGCAGTGGTTAGAATGCAGTATTGCAGGCTGACTCTGCCCACAGCCAGGAGTTTGATTCCTGATTGGTTCAAGGTTGACTCATCCTTCCATCCTTCCGAGGTCGGTAAAATGAGGGCCCAAATATTTGGAGGAAATATGCTGACTCTGTAAACTACTCAGAGATGGCTACAAAGCATTATGGAGTGCTTTATAAGCCTAAGTGCTATTGCTATCAATTTAATAATAAAAAAAATTCTAGTCCCTAGCAAACAGCTAGGTGGGGTAGAGAGATTGTGAAAAATCAAGGCTCCACGTAAAATCTCCTGCTATCAGGAATCGAACCTTGCTTTTTTATACCTGTGCAGAGCCTATCAGTGGCTACCCTGTCACAAACTAGACATGGGTGAAATGCTCCCGGTTCGGACCGGATTGCCCGATCCGGTAGCGATGGCGGCGGGTGGTTCAGAGAACCGGTAGCAAAAATCCCTGCCCCCCCCCAATGCCCAGCTGAGCCGCATGATCATCAGAGGCTTTTTTTAAAAAAAAATTAAAAGCATTTTTTTCTACAACCTGTTTGGCCAAAAAAATGCTTTTAAAAGTAAAAAAAAAAAGCGTCTGATGATCGCGTGGCTCAGCTGGGATCATCAGAGGCTTCTAAAAGCATTTTTTAACAACCTCTTTGGCTTTTAAGAGGTAAAAAAAAGTAAAAAAAAAAAAGTTGGCCACGCCCCCTCAGTCACATTACCCCCTCCCCCACTAAGCCATGCCCACACAGAACCAGTAGTAACAAATTTTACATTTCACCAAACTGATTTTTGTGAGCATTGGCTAATGAGATGACAGAAATGCAAAGAATATGAGATGCATCCGTCTTCATAGGACAGACACAGGACAACTGGGGGGGGAAAATCTGATTTTTTTTTTCATGAGGGCAAGTGCTGTGACAAGAAAGTGAAGGATTTGGATTTGAATTGCTATAAATTCTATGCCGTATCTGTTAAGGAATAATAACTTGGCCAAGAATAACGTTATGAAAACTGACACCTGTTGCCCGTGAGAAAAATCCCTGTTTAAATGATATTTAATGATTCTAATATTAGAATTACGAGATAGCTGTGTGATATACGGAGGTGTATATCAGACTTCTGTATATCAGGCAGTTGTCTTGTAATTCTAATATCTTGTAATTCTGTGAGTACATATACAGGTGTCTCTAGGCTTTGGCACAGGTAGGCCTCACTTAATATAGGTGGACTTCAACTCCCAGAATTCCCCAGCCAGCATGCTGGCTGGGGAATTCTGGGAGTTGAAGTCCACCTATATCAAACTTGCCAAAATTGAAAACACGGATATAGGATATGCTTAAGAGACATTTCTTTGCCGCATATAGGATATGGCACGATTTTGGACATAATCAACGCGAACCTCTGAAGGGTCAGGATTCTTGGGGTGACCCTTCTAAGTGCTACTCTTATTATTATTTACTATTAATTAGTTATTTGGTTTAAAATGGGATTTTATTGTACTTGTTTCTTAACTTGTGTTCGCCGCCCTGAGTCCTTCGGGAGAATGGCAGCATATAAATACATGTAATAAATAAATAAATACTCACCTCCTTGAGGGACACCACGCCAATCAGGCGCCCGATGCTGGTGACGTAAGCTTGGTCCACTCCCAAAAGGGAGAAGATGGTGTGTGTCTGGAAGAGATGGAAACATCCCAGCTGGGCATCACAACATACAGAAAAATGGCACTCACAAGCTCCATCCACATCTTCAAGTCAATGTAAAAGAGGTCTTTGTCCATGGCACACTGATGCCAACAATGCAACGAAGTCTCTCTCTCTCTCTCTCTCCCTCTCCCTCTCCCTCTCTGTGAATAAGAGCCATGAAATCTTGGATGCTGTGTAAAATTTGGAGAGAATAGTGGACTTCCATTCTTCTTGCAGTGTTAACAAATACAGATATCTATTAAAATTAAATGTGAGTGCAGAAGGGTCAAAATGCCAGGGCCACTAGACACAGTTTTTCCCCCTCCTGCCATCATTCTGCTGAACATCTACCTTGTGCAAAGAAGTCCGTTCTACCAGTTGGAAGGGAGCCGGGTCAATCTTGCAGTTGTTGAAGTTGACCAACTGATCGAGTTGTCGCTCCTCCCATTCCATCACCTACAAATTCAGGAGATGCATTAAATGCAGCAGGCCAGTTCACATTTATTTATTTTTTATTGCATTTACTGTATATGTTCTGCCCCAGCTACGGATCCCAAAGAACGCAGCACACACAAAGTCCGTTCAAACCTTAGTTTACTAAATAAACCAGTTTTTTTACAACAACGGCTGTTAATTAACTGCATTAACAGCTGCCAAGAATTGCTTACTGTGGTTGGCAGAATGCCCAGAAGCAATTTGCAGGAAGCTGATAAGATAAGCAAAACAAGACATGGAAATATGGGAACAAAGTTGTTCCCTGCAAATTGCTTCAGTCGGCGTTCCTCCTTAAATAGGCTAAGGGAGTGGCCAATTAGCCCCAAGCCTTACTCTCAAGGAGTCCTCCTCTTGAGGAGCCATTCCTGGCTTTTGGCAGCTCTGCGGGCCCGTGCATCGAGAAGAGGCTCCTCCTCTTCGTCCTCTTCACTTAAGGGAGCTTCTGGAGATTCTGAAGGCCCTGGCTGAATCCCCGCCTCTGGCACCACATCTTCTCCAGCCTCATTGTCTGACTCGAGTGCCAGCTGCACAGGCTGCTGGCGCAGCACCACACCAGCCTCCTCGCTGTCGGAATCAGCTACTAGCTGCACAGGCCACTGACGGGCCACAACAGTATATCTTCAATATTTGTCCCTGAATGTCAACCATTCAACAAAGTTCCACCAATAAAATGATTCTCTTATTGTAGAAGGTGATGAGTCTGCATATAGACAGGAAGTTGAACTGGCCCTGTGGTGCAGCCAGAACAATCTGGAGCTGAAGCTGAACATGCTTAAAACTATAGAGATGCTAGTAGATTTTTAAGAGAAATTTTAGTAGATTTTTCCTCTTCTACCACTTCTTATGATATAAAGCAGGGATGTCAAACTCAAGGCCCAGGAGGCCAGATTCGGACCGCAGGGTGCTTAGATCTGGGCCACAGAGCCACCCTGGAAACAGTGAAGGACTGGCCTGCAGTGCCTCTTGCCATGAAAATGGAGTCCGGGAGCCTGTTTTCACTGGCAGAGCGCTTGGGCCACCATAAGTGCCCCCGACACGAGTGACGTCGAGCTGGCCACGGCTACCCTGACCATGCCCCTCCATCCCTTCCCCCATGACAAACAGAACTCTGATGCGTCCCTCAATGAAACTGAGTTTGACATCCCTGATGTAAGACAACAATGGTTGAGGCCTTCAAGTTTCTGGCTTCTGTAATCTCCCAGGACTTGAAATGGTGTTGACACCTAGCATCGGAACCATTATTAAGAAAGCACAACGAAGAATGTTCTTCCTGTGTCAACTCAGAAAATTCAGACTGACCCATGAGCTGTTGATACAGTTCTACAGAGGAATGATTGAGTCTGTCCTTTGTATTTCTGTAACTATCTGGTTTGGTAAAGCAACCAAAGAGAACCAGTACAGATTTCAATGGATAGTTCATTGGCATCCTTCAGTCTCAAGAGACTATGGTATCGTGCTCTGGAAAGAGGTCCTAAAATAGCATCTGGTGTGACTAAAAAGGCCAATTCGAGAGTGGCAATCGCTTCCACACTAAGGGCAGATACATTCGGTCCCCTGCCCAGCCTCCAGATTTTGCTGGTTCCGGGGCTGCCCCTTTGCCTCAGACTGCCGAACAAGGGTCTCTTCGAATTGGAGAAGGCCAGGCTGCGTCTTTAGCCTCCAAGCTGAACGATCGGAGGTCAAGGTTTCCCAATTGTTAGTATCCCATTCCCAGGGCCTTTAGGTCCCTCTTGCAGATATCCTTATATCGCAGCTGTGGTCTCCCTCTGAGGCGCTTTCCCTGCACTAATGGATAGTTAAGATTGCAGAAAAAAAACCCCAAACAATTGCAACCAGCATGCCTTCCATTGAGGACCGGTATACTTCCAAGGATCAGAAAGCAGGGCTGAGAAAATATCTATGGACCCCTCACATCCTGGACATAAACTCTTTCAACTTCTTCCCGCAGGACTCCGCTATAGGGCATTGCATGCCAAAACATCGAAGACACAGAGACAATTCCCCTCCACCCCATATCATCACTCAAACGCCTAACTCCCACAGCATTGTCTTATGCCTAAGGATATCTAACTATGTAATAGGGTTGTATTGCTATTATCTTTCTCATCCTTCCTATTACCTACTCCTATTGATAGCTTATGACTATCACTGTCATTTGTATCTTATGATTTATGACAGTATCTTATGATTGATGATTTATCATTTTTGTTGCTTTTATGTACTGTACACTGACAGCTTCTGCACTGGAGACAAATTCCTTGTGTGTCCAATCACATTTGGCCAATAAAGAATATTCCATTCCATTCCATTCCATTCCATTGCATTGCATTGCATTGCATTCTCTATTCCAGTGATGGCTAACCTTTTTGCCATCACGTGCGAAAGGCGGGGGGAGCATAGGTGTGTGTGTGTCACACACGCGTGTGCCCACACCCATAATTATATGCACGCGCGCCTTTTCCCCGCACTCCCTCTGCTTTTGGCACACGATGGCCCGGTGGGCCTGGTAGGCTTGTTTTTTTGCTCTCCTCAGGCTCCAGAGCCTCTCTAGGAGCCTGGGAAGGCCGAAAATGGCCTCCCCCACCCCGGAGGCCGCAAACGGCCTGTTTGCTGACTTCCAGTCCTACCCTTCCTGAGTGGGGAAGGCCATTTTCACCCTCCCCAGGCTTCTAGAGAGGCTCTGGAGCCTGGGGAGAGCAAAAACGGGCCTTCCCCACCCCCACAGGCTATCCGGAAGCAGGAAACAGCCTGTTTCCCTACTTCTGGTGGGCCCAGAAGGCCCGAGCTGAGCTCGCATGCCCACCGATATGGCACCAATCTACGCATGCCATAAGTTCGCCATCACGGCTCCTATTCTATTCTATTCTATTCTATTCTATTCTATTCTATTCTATTCTATTCTATTCTATTCTATTCTATTCTATTCTATTCTACTCTAGTCTAGTCTAGTCTAGTCTAGTCTAGTCTAGTCTAGTCTAGTCTAGTCTAGTCTAGTCTAGTCTAGTCTAGTCTATTCTATTCTTATTCTTATTCTTATTATTCAGTAGAGATAGTGTCTGATTCCATACAACATGCTACAGAAGGCTACAATTGAGATTTCTTAACCTGGGTCTAACATTTAACATATTAAGGGAAGTGCTACAGCCTGGCCTAAAGTCTGAAAATTATGCCTGAAGGAATCTAAAACCCGAATCTCCCTTGTATTAATTTTAAAATCCTAATTCCTGCACCATGCCAACTTTGGAAGACATGACTCTTTCTAGATAATATGCTTCACTTTTGGTTCCAGAGTTAATCTATTTGGGATTTTCATAATTTTTGGAATAACGAACTAATCACACACAGATGTGAAGCTGTAGAATTTTTTTTTTCCTTGAAAAAGCAATTCTAATCACATTTCGCAAGTCGGGTGAATTATCTACAAGGTCTTTATCTGGCTAAGTGTTTTGTTTGATCGCAGCCAGTGTGCGAATAATTTAAAGCAGATAGGTGATTAAGAGAAAGCCAAACTGGCAGCAAACGCAGGCAAGCTTTTTTCCCAGCTCTTAGCAACCAATAAGTCAAACCAGAAGCTCGAAGGCTTCTGCTTGTTAATTATTTGCTAGGTATCGGAGATCTTTATGGATAGCGCATTATCAGATCGTTCCCAGTACTTCTTGATTAAGGCAATTGTAGCAATCTCATGCTCCATCAATGGCAAAGGGCCTGTTTTGCACATGGTCCAAGGTTCAATTGCAACCCTCTCCACTTCAGGAAAAAATCAAGAAAGTGGAAATAAAGTCTTTTACCCCTCCTCCCCCTCCAGATGCTAGAAAACAACAACTGGGTTGATTTAATTAAAAGCTGTCAGCCCCACCTAGGTAGACTAGACCTGAGAATCAACTCTACAGGTTAGACTAAAACTATACTTTATTGAAATATAATAGCACAATCTTGCAAGTGTGGGAAGTTAGCACCCACCCCTCTCCTAGGAAAATGAGGTATTTTAGGAAATATTAAAAGGGCAGAATATTTCCCCTAAAAGGAAGGCAGAAACTCAGTCCCCCCACCTTTGTCAATGGGCCATTAAGGCCTGGGCCAGTCTATTCTACATAACAAAGATCTACCTCCTTCAGGCAGAGCCATAGTAGGAATTGCCCAATGCCCTTTCATTACATCATCACCCAGCAAGGCTCAACCAAGCCTGGGACACAGACAACCTATAAAGTTAGCCCTGCATGGCCCCATGGGAGTCTGACAACCAATCAGAATACAAGCTCAAATTCAAAGCCCAACAGAGGGTATAAATCTCTCTCTCTCTCACCCATGTGCCTTTTTTGCCCAGGACTTCAAAACCACGTGGTCCTGTCTACCATTAAATCAGTCTCCATGTTTCCAGTGTCTTTCTCCCCACTTGGAACTGAACCTAGATGGACATTTCTTCCAACGAAGGCAAGCGAGGTCCAGGCAGAAGAAGAACATAATGGCTTCAAATTTTAAGGGACTGGTTTAGACAAAACTCAGTAGCACTTTTTCATGCGGCTGTTGATAGGATTGCCAACATGATGGCCAACGTCCGATGATGGATATGGCAGAAGGAGGAGGAGGAGGAGGAGGAGGAGGAGAAAGAAGGAGGAGAAGGAGGAGAAGGAGAAGGAGAAGGAGAAGGAGGAGGAGGAGGAGGAAGAAGAAGAAGAAGAAGAAGAAGAAGAAGAAGAAGAAGAAGAAGAAGAAGAAGAAGAAGAAGAGGAGGAGAGGAGGAGGAGGAAGGAGAGGAGGAGGAGAGGAGGATGAGGAGGAGGAGGAGGAGGAGGAGGAGGAGGAGGAGGAGGAAGAAGAAGAGGAAAGAAGAAGAAGAAGAAGAAGAAGAAGAAGAAGAAGAAGAAGAAGAAAGAAGAAGAAGAAGAAGAAGAAGAAGAAGAAGAAGAAGAAGAAGAAGAAGAAGAAAAGAAGAGCCTGTCCCTGGCTATCCACTCACAAATTAGACTTATTTTTGTGAGCATTTGCTAAGGAGGTGGCAGGAATGCCTCTCCATTCAAAGTTGCAACATCTCAGTCAAAATGGGGGACTACCAGAACCTTACCTCAGTTGGAGTCATCTCGCTAACCGGATCAAATTCCTCCTGCAAGAGAAACAAGGAAAGAAGGGATATTTACCACAGGTATGTGGAAAAGAGACACAAGGTGTGACTGGGCAGCGTAAGGATGAGAGGCCCAGCTGACCAAACTGGTGACAAAGGGGTAGAGACTGCAGTCAAATGAGCAGAATCAGGAGCTGGCAAGAGAACTACAGGAAGTCCTGGACTTATAACAGTTCGTTAGTGACCGTTCAAAGTTACAACGGCACTGAAAAAAAGCAATTTAGGAACATTTTTCACCCTTGCACCCACCCCCCTCACCCCCACCCCAGAAATGGCTGCCCAGTCCCTTCTTGAAAACCTCCAGTGTTGAAGCATTCACAACTTCTGGAGGCAAGTTGTTCCACTGGTTAATTGTTCTCACTGTTAGGAAGTCTCTCCTTAATTCCAGGTTGCTTCTCTCCTTGATTAGTTTCCACCCATTGTTTCTTGTCCTGCCCTCAGGCTTTGGAGAATAGGTTGACTCCCTCTCTTTGTGGCAGCCTCTCAAATACTGGAACACTGCTATCATGTCACCCCTACTTCTTCTTTTCTCTAGACTTCCGCCTTCAATCATCTTAGTTGCTCTTCTCTGCACTTTTGCCAAAGTCTCAACATCTTTTTTGTAATGTGGCATCCAAAACTGGATGCAAGTATTCCAGGTGTGGCCTTACTAAGGCTTTGTAAAGCGGTACTAATACTTCACCTGATGTTGACTAGCTATGCCTCTGTTTATAAAACCAAGAATGCCATTCACTTGACAGCAGTAATTCGCTTAACAACCATGGCATAAAAGGTCATAACACGGCGTGGGACTCGCTTACGAACTGCCTTGCTTAGCAACTGAAATTCTGATCTCATTTGTGGTTGTAAGACGAGGCCTACATGTCAGTGCGGACTTGCACTAGTCTGTTGTGCAAAGTCCCCAGCTGTTTGGTTAGCTTATGGTTTAATGCACTGTGCAAGCCCACATTATGGATTAAATCGGGGTGAAATCCAGCAGGTTCTGCAGAACTGGTAGCGGAAATTTTGAGCAGTTCGGAGAACCGGCAAATACCACCCTCTGGTGGCCCCAGATTGGGGTGGGAATGGAGATTTTGCAATATCCTTCCCCCAGGAGTGGGGGAGGGAATGGGGATTTTGCAGTATTATCCTTCCCCTGGAGTGGGGTGGGAATGGAGATTTTGCAATATCCTTCCCTGCCACGCCCACAAGCCACGCCCATAGAACTGGTGGGGAAAATTTTGATTTCACCCCTAGATTAAATCAGATGGTGTCACATAATTTGACAACCGGTTTGCTGCACACTGAAAATGTGAGTGAGCGCCTTCTATGCATGTGTGTGCCTTAGAAAACACGGCTAAATAGGATGGCATAGTGCCGGGCGGGCACACCAGTGGTGGGTTCTCTCCGGTTCAGCTGAGCCAGTAGCGGTGACGAATATGACGTCACTGAACCAGTTCTCTTTGTCCGGAGCTGGGCCCTCCCACCCGCCCCCACGTTATTCTTACCTTTTATTTCTTCTTTTTTAGCCCAGCTGATAGGTGCGGCAGAGTGGATTGCCACACCTCAACTGGGCAGACTCCTAAAGCGCTTGTGTGAAGTGCAAGTTTGGCGCACATGCGAAGAGCGAAGCATGCATGGTGCAGCGATCGCGCGTGAAGCGCGTGCACGAAGAGAACCGGTAGTAAAGCCAGGTTGGAACCAGGGGTGGGTTCTAAAATTTTTTACTACTGGTTCTGTGGGCGTGACTTATTTGGGGGGCGTGGCTTGATGGTCATGTGACAATTCTTTAGGATTTAGCAGAGGTACTGGTCTACCAGGCTTTAACTGCTTGCAGAGCTGTACTGGTCTACCCATTTGTTTTTGGAGGCCCGGTCCTACCACCACACTGCCTTTTAACACTGATCAGCTGTAGGGCGGCCCTTTGAAGCCCCACGGCAAGAGTTTAAACAGATTTTTCCTCCTAGCCGATCAGCTGGGACTCAGGAGGCAGCAATAGATTGGGGGTGGGGCCAAATAAAAGGTAAGAATAACGTGGGGGGGCAGAACCGTTCGGTGACGTCATATCATCACCGCTACTGGCTCGGCGGAACCCGGGAGGAACCCACCACTGGTTGGAACCCACCACTGGGGCACACTCGCAGGTCGCCAGTACCATTGGATAAATCAGTAACCAGGTTACATATATCCTGTGAATGTAGCGCAAGGACTCCCTGACTCTTTATCTTCTCCCAGGTACAGAGGCTTTCACCTCCTTGCTTGCACCTGTGCCTTGAATCCTACGCAGGACTTTTGCAAAATCCAGGACTGCGGCTGTGTTCCTTGATGCTTCTGTCAATACAGCCTAACGTTGCGTTAGCATCTTGAGCAACGTTACTGTTGCGTCACTGTGTACATCACAATAAAGGCCGAGCTGGAAAGAGCTACGCTTGTTGAATTGATTTCTCCTTGGAAAACACATTCCGTGAGGCCGGAAATTTCTTTCTTATGTTTCTTGCAAGAAAAACGGACCTCGTCAACCAAACGGGGAATAAAAAGCCCTTATAAGGCCAACATTCACCAAGCGGGATTGTCTCTATTTCAGCCCCCTTTCTTTCTCCATCTTAAGTTTAAGTTTATTTAAGTTTAAGTTTTATTTATTTGTCAAGCATATATAAGATTACAGGTAATCAAGATTACTGAGTCCTTCGGGAGTAGGGCGGTATATAAATCAAATAAACTAAAAAGTATAAATATAATTTGAATACATGAAAAGAGTCAGTAAAAAGGAATATTAGGACAGGGACGGTAGGCACGCTGGTGCAGTTATGCATGCCAGGGGTGGGTTCTAAAATTTTTTACTACTGGTTCTGTGGGCGTGGCTTATTTTGTGGGCATGGCTTGGTGGGGTGATAATGTGACTGGGTGGGCATGGCCAACTTTTTTTTTTTTAATTTTTAGAAGCATTTTTTCTACAACTTTAAGAGGTTGCAGGAAAAAAATGCTTTTAGAAGCCTCTGGCGATCAGGCAACTCAGCTGGGACTGCCAGAGGCTTTTAAAGGCATTTTTTTTCCCTACAACCTCTTCGGCTGAAGAGATTGCAGAAAAAAAAGCTTTTAAAAGCCTCTTACAATCCCAGCTGAGCCGCGCGATCATCAGAGGCTTTTTTTTTTTAACTTTTAAAAGCATTTTTTTCAGCCAAAGAGGTTGTAGAAAAAATGCTTTTAAAAGTTTTTTTTTAAAAAGCCTCTGATGAGGTGGGCAGGGTAAGCGAGCGGCGACTGGACCGGATTCGGGGGCGTGGCCAGCCAATGTTATTACCGGTTCTTCAAACTACTACAGATTTTTACTACGAGTTGTTGTGAACTGGTGTGAACCGGGAGCTACCCACCACTGATGCACGCCCCTTACAGACCTCTTAGGAATGGGGTGAGGTCGACAGTAGACAGTTTAAGGTTAAAATTTTGGGGGTTTGGGGAAGAAACTTCAGAGTCAGGTAGTGCATTCCAGGCATTGACCACTCTGTTGCTGAAGTCCTATTTTCTGCAGTCGAGTTTGGAATTTGTATCTTCTTAAGAGACCGGCAGAGAAACACCCAAAATCACTTTCACGATCCAGATTTATTTTGAGGAGAGAAAGATGGAAGCGAGGCAGGGAAGCTAGCAATTCGGAGGCAGGGATGAAGGCAAGCAATGTTTAGGATTGGCTGTTCCAAAGGATGTGGCTTTTAATAAATCAACTGGTCTGTCAAAGGAAGGGAGCGAATTGTTGTGAGCTACCGCTAACACCAAAACACAATCAAAACGAGAGGCGGAACTGTGCTGAAGGTACTGGACTGTGGCCATACAGTTAGCCTTCGACTTACGTCCATTCATTTAGTGACCATTCGAAGTTAGAACAGCACTTGAAAAAAGTGACGTATGACCGTGTTTCACACTTACGACCATTGCAGCGTACGACTTACGACTGTGGCTGTGTGATTAAAATCCAGGCGCTTGGCAACCAGTTCCTATTTATGACGGTTGCAATGTCCCGGGCGGAGTCACGTGACGTGATCCCTTTCTGATAAGCAAAGGCAATGAGGAAGCCAGATCTGCTTAACAACTGAGTTATTAACTTAACCGCGGCGGTGATTCTCTTTGCAACGGGGTCAAGAAAGGTCATAAAACGGGGCAAGACTCACCTAACAAGCTTAGCGACTGAAACATTGAGCTCAATTGTGGGTCGTAAGTCAAGGACCGCCTGTACATTAGAACAGCGTTTCTCAATTGCTTTTAAGATGGCTGGGTTTCGATTCCCAGAATTCCCGTGCCAGAATTCTGAGATTTTTAAATCCAGACATTTTGAAATCGCCTGAGCTAAAAGGCAGCATATTAGGGGAAGTTTACATTTTTCTCTAAACAATGCTGAATTTGGGTTTCCTGTACAAATTGTCCCAGAAAATCAGCTCAAAGAATGTCAATGAAAGGTTGGATAGCTCAATCAGGGGTGGGTTCTACTTACCTTTACTACCAGTTTGCAAGGGGGCCGCAGGCACGGAAGCGTTCTGATGACATCAGGGCAGGGGTGAAAAGCTCCCGGTTCGGACCGGATTGCCCGATCCGGTAGCGATGGCGGCGGGTGGTTCGGAGAACCGGCAGCAAAAATCCCTGCCCCCCCCTCCATGCCCAGCTGGGCAGCACAATCATCAGAGACTTTTTTTTTACTTTTAAAAGCATTTTTTCTACAACCTCTTCGGCCGAAAAAATGCTTTTAAAAGTAAAAAAAAAAAGCCTCTGATGATCATGCGGCTCAGCTGGGATCGTCAGAGGCTTTTCAAAGCATTTTTTTCTGCAACCTCTTGGCCGAAGAGGTGGTAAAAAAAATGCTTTGAAAAGTCTCTTGACGATCCCAGCTGAGTTTCCTGATCAGCAGAGAGATATTTTTTAAAAAGCCTCTCTGATGATCCCAGCTGAGTTTCCTGATCGGCAGAGGCTTTTCAAAGCATTAGAAAAAATGCTTTGAAAAGTTTTTTTTTTAAAAAAAAAGTTGGCCACGCCCACCCAGTCACATTACCCCACCACCACCAAGCCACGCCCACAGAACCGGTAATAACAAATATTACTTTTCACCCCTGGCGGAGCCTCCCTCCGGTTTTACTACCGGTTCTATAGAATCGGTCCGAACCGGGGGCAACCCACCACTGAGCTCAATGCTTTTTGAAAGCTCAAACCAAGTGGATTTTTTCCAACATTAGGTGCTTTACTGTATATGTACTCTGAGTCCTATTTATATGCCATAATTAAGTGTGCATTGTGTGTGCTTGTTAATCTGAAGATAAGATATGGACTCACGTTAATCGGCAAGTTATTATCTATAATATCAGTGATTTTCAACCTCGGAAACTTTAGGAAGGGCTTATCAAAATTAACACAACTGTGCCATATGCCAGATTTCTTCTAATGATAAGGATAGTACCGGTCAGCCTAAGGATGGGTTGGCCAGGATGTGCGAAGAACCAAAGGCACAGCTAAACCTATTTGCACGATGTTATGCGAACAAAGATCTGTAATATAGAACAGGGTCTCTCAGCCGTGACAACTTTAAGATGCGTGGACTTCAACTCCCAGAATTCCCCAGCCAGCATGGAATTCTGGGAGTTGAAGTCCACCCATCTTAAAGAATGTTGGCTAGGGAATTCTGGGTGTTGAAGTCCATGCTTCCGTCAATACGGAAAGAGCCTTGGTAGTACAGGAGTTTAAGGCACCCTGTTATTAAGCTTATTAAGACCAGCTGCCTGCAATTACTGCAGGGTTCGAATCTCGCCAAGGCTCAAGGTTGACTCAGCCTTCCATCCTTTCTAAGGTAGGTGAAATGAGGACCCGGTTTGTGGGGGAAATAAGCTGACTTTGTATAAATATACAAAAGGATGAAGGCTATTGCTGAGAACATTGTAAGCCGCCCTGAGTCTTCGGAGAAGGGCGGCATATAAATCAATTTTTTTTAAAAAAAAAAATACAGCCGAAGGTTGCATTAGCAAAGCTGGTTGGGGAATTCTGGGAGTTGAAGTCCGCCAGGCTTTAAAGTTGCCAAGGTTGGAGACCCTTGGTCTACATCATAATAAAGACTGAGCTCTTCTGGAAAATACATTCCATGGGCCCGAGCTCCCCCCGGAGATACGGAGGATCCCGGATCTACGCACCTTCCGCCGCGCTCTCAAGATCTTTTTATTTCACCAGGCTGGTCTGGCCTAACCTCTCCCATTCTCTTTTTAATGTAAATTTTAATGTAAATTTTAATTTGTTCTTAACCTGGGGTTTTAAATTTGTCTTGGGCTAAATTGATTTAATTCGATTTTACTTCTGCTCTTAAATTTTTGTATTCTATGTGTTTTATCTTGTGCCTGTTCACCGCCCTGAGTCCTTCGGGAGTAGGGTGGTATATAAATAAAAAAAAAAATTAAAAATAAATAAATAAGAAAAATCTCTTTCATATGTTTCTTGCAAGAAAAATGAGACATTGTCAACCAAACTGGCTGGGAATTCTGGGAGTTGAAGTCCACCCATCTGAAGGTCACCATGGTTGAGAAACACTGGTTTAGATCGAAGGTTGGAAAGAATACAAGGTTAATACTAAACTTTGCCAAAAGAGTTTATACGGATAAACAGGCAGATTTTTTTCTAAGTCGCCTAGTTAGGCATGTGTGAATCCCAGAAGCCAAATTGTCTTGAATTGGGGTGTTTATAAATCCTGTAAACACCTCCCACCCCCCAACCTTCAGCACAGTTTTAATCCTCTACAGCCACTCTAGTTTTTAGTTCCTGTGATTTTTGGAAGGAGAGGAGAGGAACGGATACGGGGCAGCTGGCCCACACTTACCACCACGGAAATACGGACGCGTTTCGACTTGTGCTTTTCGGATGCCCCCGGATTCTCCTCCTTTTAATTTTTTACCAGGGGAACAAAACAAACGGGAGGGAGAGAGAACATAATTTCAGGAGGGGAATGGCGGAGCAGGGACAAGTCTGCCATGTTAGGGTGCGAGCAGCGGCCTGGGAAATAAAGATGATGGGGGTTTTTTGGCTCAAAGATAGAGAGAAGGATGGGAGGATTAAAAACAGGGAGCTCACCTCCACGGACTCTGCTGTTGAGGCGTTGGCGCAAAAAAGGTTCCTCAAGGTCATCCCTGCCGTCTCGGTTGTCCCAGCTGTCCACAAAGAGAGAGAGAAAGAGAGAGAGAGAGAGAGAGAGGGAGAAAAAGAGAGAGAGGAAGGGAGGGAGAAAGAGAGGGAGAGAGGGAGGGAGAAAGAGAAAAAGAGAGAGAAAAAGAGAGAGAGGGAGGGAGAAAGAGAGGGAGAAAGAGAAAAAGAGAGAGAAAGAGAGAGAAAAAGAGAGGTGGGAGAGAGAGAGGGAGAGAGAAAGAGAGAAAAAGAGAGAGAGAAAGAGAGAGAGAGAGGGAGAAAGATAGAAAGAGAGAGAGAGAGAGGGAGAAAAAGAGAGAGAGGAAGGGAGGGAGGGAGAAAGAGAGGGAGAGAGGGAGGGAGAAAGAAAAAGAGAGAGAAAAAGAGAGAGAGGGAGGGAGGGAGAAAGAGAGGGAGAAAGAGAAAAAGAGAGAGAAAGAGAGAGAAAAAGAGAGGGGGGAGAGAGAGGGAGAGAGAAAGAGAGAAAGAGAGAAAAAGAGAGAGAGAAAGAGAGAGAGGGAGGGAGAAAGAGAGAGAGAGAAAGAGAAAGAGAGGGAGGGAGGGTGGAAGAGAGGGAGAGAGGGAGGGAGAAAAAGAGAGAAAGAGAGAGGGAGGGAAAAAGAGAGAAAGAGAAAAAGAGAGAGCAAAAGAGAGAGACGGAGGGAGAAAGAGAGAGAGAGAGAAAGAGAGGGAAGGAGGGAGGGAGAGAGGGAGGGAGAAAAAGAGAGAAAGAGAGAGGGAGGGAGAGGGAGGGAGGGAAAAAGAGAAAGAAAGAGAGAAAAAGAGAGAATGAGAGAGAGAGAAAAAAGAGAGAGAGGGAGGAGGGAGAAATAGAAAAAGAGAGAGAGAAAGAGAGAGGGGGGAGGGAGAAAGAAAGAAAGAGAGAGAAAGAGAGAGAGAAAGAGAGGTGGGAGAGAGAGAGGGAGGGAGAGAAAGGAAGAGAAAGAGGGGGAGAGAGAAAAAGAGAGAGGGAGGGAGGGAGAAAAAGAGAGAAAGAGAGAGGGAGGGAGAGAGGGAGGGAAAAAGAGAGAAAGAGAGAAAGAGAGAGAGGGGGGGAGAGAGAGAGAAAGAGGGAGAAGAGAGAGAAAGAGAAAGAGAGAGAAAGAAAGAGAGAGAGAGAGAAAGCGAGAGAAAGCGGGAGGGAGGGAGGGAGAAAGAGAGAGACGTCATAATTATTCAGAGAGTACCTGGGGGAGGACCCAAATGCCATACAGATAGTCCTCAAATTACGACCGCAATTGAGCCCAACATTTCTGTTGTTAAGTGAAACATCTCTTAAGTGAGTTTCGCCCCATTTTATAGCTTTTTTTTTTTGCCAGAGTTGCTAAGTGAATCACTGAAGTTGTTAAGTTAGTAACACGGTTGTTAAGTGAATCTGGCTTCCCCACTGACTTTGTTTGTCGGAAGGTCGCAAAAAGGAGATCCCCACATGACCCCAGGACACTGCAGCCATCATAATTATGAGTCGGTTGCCAAGCATCGATAATTTTGATCACAATGACCGGTCGTGTTGCAATGGTCGTTAAGTGTGAAAAACGGCCATAAGTTACTTTCTTCAGTGCCGTTGCAACTTCGAACAGTCACTAAAGGAACTGCTGTACGTCGGGAACTACCTGTATTGTGCAGAGGACTAGAAACCTGAAGCCCACTTTTAGAGACCAATGCAATGAGGGCAGTTTGGGAACCAGACTAAGAGAAAACCCTCTAAGACAGGGGTCACCAACCTTTCGGACCTCAGGGACGACTAAATTCATGATTTTAAATCCCACGGACCGCTAATACGATCTGCCTAATGACCGGCTGGGTAGGTGTGGCTAGGTGGCTGGGTGGGTGTGGTCAACTCGATGTCACTCACGTCGAGGGGCGCCTCGCCGGCCTCTACTCACCCCTCCCCTCCCAGCCATTCCTCGCCTGCCCGCCTGGGCTCTTTACGGCCCCAACAGGAAGCAGTTGCTGGAGCTAAGCAGCCACCACGAGAAAGAGTTGGCAAAACAGCTCAGTTCAAATTGGATCTGACCGAGAAGGAGCCAGCTTCAGTGGAAGCACCTCACTGAGGACTAGGAGCATAGGCTTTCCAAGCAGAGGGAAGACCTGCGGGAGTGCAAGGCCAGGTACCGGCGCCTGGAGGCTCAGTGGGCTGAGATGGTCAGCCAGTTCCAGGCCATGAGGCAGCCCCACTGGAACGAGGCCTTCTGGCTCTTCGCCACCAGCACCGCTTCCCTCCAGCCTTCGCCCAAAGCCCCTCACCAGGAGGCCGAAGCAGACCCCGAGTCGGAATTTCTGTCTCCCTCCGACCCACACAAAAAGACCCCGAAGGGGGAGAATCTCCACAGCAATGCAAACGTTCATTGCACGTATCCGGCCCAGGGGCCATAGTTTGAGGACCCCTGATTTAGTGCAATATCAAAAATGCAAATAATTTTTCTGCGGACCACCAAAATTTTCTTGGGGACCACCGGTGGTCCACGGACCACCAGTTGGTGACCACTGCTCTAAGAGAAAACGGTACAGTTTGCATTGCACAAAAAAGGGGAATATTTGTAGCTCAGGGTTGACACAAGCGTTCCTTGGTGCCCTCTGAGCTTGGTTGTTTTCTCGCAGACGTTTCATTACCTAAGTAGGTAACAACACCAGTGCTCCAGTAAGGAGAGGGAGTTTACATTGAAATGTGGAGAACTCAAGGGGAATAGAGCAAAAGGGCTTTTTCGGTCACCTGAAGGATTGTCTGATAAAGTGCTGGGGACCCGTTTCAGAGCCGGCTTCAGGGGTTTACGAGGTTCGCTCTGCGGAGGGAGGAAGGAGGGGGATTCCTCTGGCCCAATCTGGTTGGAGAAGAAGAAGAAAAAGAAGAAGAAATTAGCAAGGGAGACGACTTCGAGCTCGGATGCTTAATGGTTTGTGAGAAAGACTCTGAGGAACGAGGGAAAGAGAAGCTCCCCAGGAAAACAATAGGAGAATGTAACAGTAACAGTAGAGTTGGAAGGGACCTTGGAGGTCATCTAGTCCAACCCCCTGCCCACGCAGGAGACCTGTACTAGGGATTAGAACCGCCGAACTGCCGACTTTTCTGATCGACGAGCTCGGTGTCTTAGCCGTTGAGCCACCTAGTCAGATAAGAGGGAGAGGAGCCCTCAGTGGCTTGACGGTTAGAGGAAGAAACTCACCCTGTGTTTCCCCGAAAATAAGACCCGGTGTTATCAATTTTTTTTTGCCACCAAAAAAGGCACCAGGTCTTATTTTCGGGTGGGGGGAGGATGTCCTCCACTGACTCACCTCACTTGTGTGCATTGCTCCTGGCCTCCTTTTTACTGTTAGAGGCTTCAGGAACTTCTTCTGCCTTGGTGGCGCTAAAGTGCTGTTAAGTAGCACTTAGTTGCCAGCTGCCTGCAATTAGTGCAAGTTCAAATCTCACCAGGCTCAAGGTTGACTCAGCCTTCCATCCTTCCGAGGTAGGTAAATTGAGGACCCCGATTGTGGGGGCAATAAGCTGACTTGGTATATAAAAAAGAACACCGCTTGGGGGGAGGGGGGGCGAAAGCCCTACTAAGCAGGTATATACAAAAAGTATGAAGGCTATTGCTTAACGCATTGTAAGCCGCCCTGAGTCTCCGGAGAAGGGCGGCATAGAAAACGAACCAATAAATAAATAAATAAATAATTCTACAGCTGGCAAGGTCAACAAGGCTTTCCTGAAGGCCTCTGAAGGCCTCCGATCGATCAGGAGCTCTGTTATCAGCTGCAGAGGCCTTCAGGAAAGCCTTGCCGGCTGCAGAAGAAATGGGCTGAGGTGTGCAAGGCCTGGCTGCAACTGTCTGAAGGTAAGTAGTAAGGCAGCTCCACCCCATCATCTCCACCCCAGCTTAATTTTTATCCATGCACCAGGGGTGAAATCTACCTTCCCAACCGGTTTGGAACTGCGCATGTGCAAACCCTTCTGCACATGCGCAGAGGGCAAAAAACTGGTTATTTCCTGGTTAAAATGAGGAAGTAACGATAACTGGGCGGGTGGGCGGAGCCTCGCGCCGCCATCACTACCGGTTCTCTGAACTGGTCTGAACCGGGAGCATTTCACCCCTGCCATGCACCCTGGAGTGGGCAGGGTCTTAATTAGGGCTTATTTTGAGGGTATTTATTTATTTTATTTTATTTATTAAATGTTTATACCGCCCTTTTCCTGAAAAGGACTCAGGGCGGTGTACAGCCAAAATAAAAACCAACAATATAAAAGTTAAAAACAATTTAAAATTATTCAATAGTTTGGCCAATCATCTAAAATAAAATAACCCATTCCCATAAAATTTTAGGCCAGCCCTGCTTGATGGAATAATAGCGTTTTAAGGGCGCGGCGAAAGGTACGGAGGTCGGGAATCCGACGAATCTCCCGGGGCAGCTCGTTCCAGAGGGCAGGTGCCCCCACAGAGAAGGCTCTTCCCCTGGGGGTCGCCAGTCGACACTGTCTAACCGACGGCACCCTGAGGAGACCCTCTCTGTGGGAGCGTACTGGTCGGTGGGAGGCTATCAGAGGCAGAAGGCGGTCTCGTAAATATCCAGGTCCTATGCCATGGAGCGCTTTAAAGGTGGCAACCAACACCTTGAATCGCACCCGGAAGACCACTGGGAGCCAGTGCAGCTCGCACAGGAACGGTGTTACATGGGACCACCGAGGGTAGGGCTTATATTGGGCACACGTGTAGAAATCAAGCTAGGACTTACTTTCAGGGTAGGTTGTATTTTCGGGGGAAACCTGGTAGGATTGAACAATCTAATTGTTCAGGTGCTTAAAAATGGAGACAAGAGATTTGTACCTTCAGATTTGCAAGATCCTCTTAGCTTTGCAAGACAGGTAGTCCTCGACTTCTAACTTGTCGCTTAGCGACCGTTCAGAGTTATGACGGCTTATGACGGACCTCCTTGGGGGGGTACTTACTATCCAGATTCAAAGTTCTAATGGCTGCCCCTCTCCCTGTGGTCATATGACCGTACGTTGTGCACTTGGCAACCATATTTAAAACCATTTGCAGTGTCTCACAGTCATATGATAGCCTTTTACTTATTTATTTAATTTATTTATTTATTTTAGTATATAAAAAGAAGCAGACGTACTGCGAACTCTGGAACTTAAGATTTAAAAATTTTAAAAGAATTAAAATTTTATTTTACTAAGCTTTACTAAGCTTTTATTTTAATTTACTAAATTCTTTTAAAATTTTAAAATCTTAAGTTCCAGAGTTCGCAGTATGTCTGCTTCTTTTTTTTACTAATATACCTGGAACTCGTATTTTTAGAATAGTTTGTAATTTTAGTGTATTTATACAGCCGCCTACTCGCTCACAGCAACTCTAGGCGGTTTACGGACAATTACGATGGTTTGGCTGAAAACTGGCATTAGCTTCTGGGTTTTGGCAAAATCGGCCTGTAGCAAACTGTTAGCTCACTTAATGACTGCCGTGTTTGCTTAACGACCCCTGCAAAGAAAGGTCATAAGATTGGGTCAGTCACATGGGTGACCTGATTTACAACTGTCCTTCATTATGATGGTGACGGGCAGGCTTCATGATGGTCATAATTAGAGGACTGCTTTAAAGTAGAATTAGCTCATCTGGTTGTATCTCCTGTCGGGGTTACCCAGGAGGCCTGACAGTTACTCTGCACCTTAATAGGATGACAGAAGGTGACTGTGTGTTTCTCTTTTTCCAATGGTTTTTTAGGAGATAACCAGGCTGAGCGCGAGGGAGGGATCAAACGCGTCATCAGTCATGAATCCCTGCATGCCCACAAGAGTTCTAAACCCAGCCCATCATGAATGCCTTCATTTCCCTTGACCGTTAGTAGCTCAGATTTTTGTAGAGCACTTAAGCTTGCAAAAAAAATCTTTACACTCCTCGGAGCTGCCTGAATCTCCCGATTTCCCTGGCGTTCGACAGGTTTTGAGTTCTTTACAAGACAAAAGTTGTTGGCAGAGACACCGTGGGTGTAAAAAGGCCCCCTGGTCACCTGAAAGCGCACTCCTGTGTCCGGTACGTGGTGCGGTTCCTTGTTTTCCTGACTCTTTTCAGGGACCCGGTGCTCCAGCTGGGTTTTCTCCTGCATAAACTGCCGGCGGCGAACGTAGCTCAGCTGGTCGTGGAGGAGGGCGCCAATCTGAGTACGGTCCACGGACCCTAGCAAGATCATGGATTCTGCAGAGGGAAGCAAACCGAATCTATTTTATGGACCGAGGACAGATGGCGAAGCAATACGCAGCTGTGTTTAAGCGAATCAGATAACGATTAGGAGACACGTTCGCCTGCACGCTAAGCTTCCTTGGCGCGTTAAGCTTGATTTCCACCTTATCATGCTGGGCAAAGTCAACCATTTCTGGATCCACAGAGTGGGAGAATTTGAAAATAGGATAATTCTCTAATGTTTTTGAAATAATCCAGAAGGGGTTGGACTAGAAGACATCCAGGGTCCCTTCCGACTCTGGTTATTCTGGTGCTATGCAAATGCAACCAGTGACTCAGTTCCCAAGTAACTAGCTTGATCCACTGAATAAAATCCCAGTTCTCTTAAAGTTGTGGTGAGCCACTCCTCCCAGCAACTTCTAGTGCAATGCAAATGCAATGCAAATTGAAATAGTGACTCAGTTCCCAAGTACAGTCGAATCATCTGGTCACAAATGCTTCTGATTATGAGCAAATCGGGTTCTGATCTAAAAATCCACAACTATTTTTTCCTGTGGCCGATTTCCCCTTCCGCGCCTTTTTTTTTTTGTAAGCGCCAAATTTCCAAAATTAGGTTCGGGTCACAACCAAATTGGTTTGTGACCAAAGTTATGGAACAAATTATGTTTGTGACCAGAGGTTCTACTCAGGGATGAAATCCAGCAGGTTCTGGAGAACCGGTAGCGGAAATTTTGAGTAGTTCGGAGAACCGGTAGCAGAAATTTTGACTAGTTCGGAGAACCGGCAAATACCACCTCTGGCTGGCCCCAGAGTGGGGTGGAAATGGAGATTTTGCAATATCCTTCCCCCAGGAGTGGGGAGGGAATGGAGATTTTGCAGTATCCTTCCCCTGCCACTCCCACCAAGCCACGCCCACAGAGCCGGTAGTAAAAAAAATTGGATTTCACCACTGGTTCTACTGTAACTAGCTCGATCCACTGGATACAGTCCCAGTTCTTTTAAATTTCTGGTGAGCTATTTTTCCCAGCAACCTCTGGTGCTATGCAAATGCAATGCAAATGAAACCGGTGGCCCCCTTCTTTATTCTGCTTAGGAGGTTAGGCACAGCTGCCTTTCAAATGTTGGCACACAGCACTTGCAACCGCCACTACGAATTGTTGCAGTGTGCAGTTATTTCCCCTAACCCCCTGCTGCGCATGACATGTAACTCTGCTTGTTCCTCCGAAAGGCCAAACGGCCGTTACAAGGATTGTGGCAAAGTTGAACTGCGCACACAATGGTGCTGCAGAGAACTGGATAGCTTCCTGTCCTTTTGACAGCAAATCTGAAGTCATCGGGCTCAAAGCTCCTCCGTTATATTCAGAGATAACTGCAAATGCGAGCCAATAGTTGCCCTCACTCTTTCCTCAAGACTGAAAGCGTTCTCAATTCCTAATTTCCTGACCGATGTCATTGTCTGTCTCAGAACACGACCCAATTTCTCAAAATATTTTTTTTTTAAATATGGTACCAAAAACCAGACGCCCCACTCAAGCTGGGACCTGACTGGTGGTAAGATTCAGCCGGTTCGGGCTGGTTCGGGCCGGTTCGGGCGAATAGATAGTTAAATTTCTGGCTGCCCTGCCCCACCCCTTCCAGGAGTCCCCCACGCGCCCCATTTTGGCTCCCAGGTAAGTGCAGGGAGGCCTACTAGGCCCAAAATGGGGCGCAGGGTGGACAGCGCGCCCACCCACCCCGCGGCCCATTTTCGCTCCCAGGAGGCTGCGGAGAGACCTACTAGGCCCAAAACATGGCGCGAGGGGGAGTGGCACTTCCCTCCCCACGGCCTGTTTTTGCTCCCGGGGGGTGCTGCCTGTCACACCTCCTGGCCACGCCCACCCAGACGGTCATGAGGGCAGAGAACCGGTTGTTAAATTATTTGAATCCTACCACCGGATCTGACCAAAGCAAGGTTCTCCAAAAATCTGATGGAGACATGTGATTTATCTTATTTTCTGTGATAGACGTTCGTTTGCGGAATCAAAATCATGTGAAGTATTAGTAGCGTTTTATAAAACCTTAGTAAGGCCACACCTGGAATACTTGCATCCAGTCTTGGGCACCACATTACAAAAAAGAGGTTGAGACTTTGGAAAAAGTTCAGAGAAGAGCAACTAAGACGATTAAAGGCCTGGAGGCTAAAACATATGAAGAAGGATTGCAGGAATTGGGTCTGGCTAATCTAGAGAGAAGAAGGACTAGGAGGGACATGACAGCAGTCTTCTAGTATTTGAGGGGCTGCCACAAAGAGGAGGGGATCAACTTATTTTCCAAAGCAGCAGAGGGCAGGACAAGAAACAATGGATGGAAACGAATCCATTGGAAGCTAAACCAAGGAGAGAAGCAACCTGGAATTAAGGAGAAACTTTCTAACAGTGAGGACAATTCACCAGTGGAACAGTTTGCCTCCAGAATTATAAGTGCTTCATTTCTTTTAAGAGTAGAGTAGAGTAGAACAGAACAGAACAGAGAGCCATTTGTCTGGGAACGTATCCTGCTCGAGCAGGAGGTTGGACTAGAAGACCTCCAAGGTCCTTTCCAGTTTCCACTCCATTCCATTCCATTCCATTCCACTCCACTCCACTCCACTCCACTCCACTCCACTCCACTCCACTTCTGTTCTATTCTATTCTATTCTATTCTATTCTATTCTATTCTATTCTATTCACTGGATCTGACCAAAGCAAGGTTCTCCAAAAATCTGATGGAGACATGTGATTTATCTTATTTTCTGTGATAGACGTTCGTTTGCGGAATCAAAATCATGTGAAGTATTAGTAGCGTTTTATAAAACCTTAGTAAGGCCACACCTGGAATACTTGCATCCAGTCTTGGGCACCACATTACAAAAAAGAGGTTGAGACTTTGGAAAAAGTTCAGAGAAGAGCAACTAAGACGATTAAAGGCCTGGAGGCTAAAACATATGAAGAAGGATTGCAGGAATTGGGTCTGGCTAATCTAGAGAGAAGAAGGACTAGGAGGGACATGACAGCAGTCTTCTAGTATTTGAGGGGCTGCCACAAAGAGGAGGGGATCAACTTATTTTCCAAAGCAGCAGAGGGCAGGACAAGAAACAATGGATGGAAACGAATCCATTGGAAGCTAAACCAAGGAGAGAAGCAACCTGGAATTAAGGAGAAACTTTCTAACAGTGAGGACAATTCACCAGTGGAACAGTTTGCCTCCAGAATTATAAGTGCTTCATTTCTTTTAAGAGTAGAGTAGAGTAGAACAGAACAGAACAGAGAGCCATTTGTCTGGGAACGTATCCTGCTCGAGCAGGAGGTTGGACTAGAAGACCTCCAAGGTCCTTTCCAGTTTCCACTCCATTCCATTCCATTCCATTCCACTCCACTCCACTCCACTCCACTCCACTCCACTCCACTCCACTTCTGTTCTATTCTATTCTATTCTATTCTATTCTATTCTATTCTATTCTATTTATTCTATTCTATTCTATTCTATTCTATTCTATTCTATTCTATTCTATTCTTTTCTTTTCTATTCTATTCTTATTCTATTCTATTCTATTCTATTCTATTCTATTCTATTCTAATTCTTATTCTATTCTATTTCTATTCTATTCTATTCTAATTCTTATTCTATTCTATTCTATTCTATTCTATTCTATTCTATTCTATTCTATTCTATTCTATTCTATTCTATTCTTATTCTTATTCTATTCTATTCTATTCTATTCTATTCTATTCTTATTCTATTCTATTCCATTCCATTCTTTGAAATGATAAATCACTATCCTCTTCTCCAGTTGAAGGATGCCCATGTGCTGCTGAAGCCCTTTGAATGTTTCATCAAAGATGAATACAAGCTTGTATTTGTTGCAAATATACCTCAGGATGTTTTTAGGCGGGAAAACACACTTGCCACACGCATTGCAGATCATCTCCACTTTTGCTTCTTAGATACCCCCAGCAGAATCAGCATTTATTTCTCTTTGATCTTTTTTTTTTTTTAGACTTTTGCATTAGTCAAGATCAAAGTGTTTATTCGGTGGAAAACTGACTAGGGACTCTTCAGCAAGATCCCGTTACCTCTCCCATTTGCTTGCTCAGGGAGATCTGGGGAAAGAGTTTTTTTTTTAAAAAACAAAAAACTCTAGAAGTTATTAAACAACATCTGATACGTAGAGTGATGATCAAACCCACGAGCTTGCGGATCCCTAAACTAAGTGGGAAAATACTTTTTTTTTTTTTTTAATTTGATTGATATGCCGCCCTTCTCCGGAGACTCAGGGCGGCTTACAATGCGCTAAGCAATAGCCTTCATCCTTTTGTATATTTATACAAAGTCAGCTTATTGCCCCCACAAACTGGGTCCTCAATTTACCTACCTTAGAAAGGATGGAAGGCTGAGTCAACCTTGAGCCTTGGCGAGATTCGAACTTGCAGTAATTGCAGGCAGCTGTTCTTAATAACAGGGTGCTTTAAACCACTGTACTACCAAGGCTCTTGGAGGCAACATATTTATGGAAGCAACATATATCCTACATTTTATAGGCCTGCAGGCCTGGGCACAGAGTCTTCACTATGCATAAAGACATAGATAGCAATAGCACTTAGACTTATATACCGCTTCACAGTGCTTTTACAGCCCTCTCTAAGTGGTTTACAGAGCCAGCGTATTGCCCCCAACAATCCCACTTTCGGAAGGATGGAAGGGTAAGTCAACCTTGAGCTTGGTGAGATTCGATCTCTCAAATTGCTGGCAGCTGGGGATCAGCAGAAGTAGCCTGCAGTACTGCACTCTAACCACTGCGCCACCGCGGCTCTTTAGATGGACATTTGTAACCCAGGAAGGAAGGAAGGGAGGGAGATATAATGAAGAAGGGAGGGAGGGAGGGAGGGAGGAAGAAGATAAATGAGGAAGGAAGGGAGGGAAGAAGGAGAGAGGGAAGAAGAAAGAAAGAAGGGAGGGAGGAAATAAACAAGGGAGAGAGGGAGGGAGGAAGAAGATAA